ACGGTGAAACCCCGTCTCTACTAAAAATACAAAAACTTGGCTGGGCATGATGGCAGGCTCCTGTACTCCCAGCTACTCGGGAGGCTGAGGCGGGAGAATGGCGTGAACCCAGGAGGCGGAGCTTGCAGTGAGCCGAGATTGTGCCACTGCACTCCAGCCTGGACGACAGAGCAAGACTCTGTCTCAAAAAAAAAAAAAAAAAAATTGTGCTGGAAGCGCTAGAGACACCCACAGATGCCTTCCATCAGTTGAGTCAGAGATTCTCAATCTCAAATTCTATACCTAGCCTATCTATCAACAAGTGTGAGAGGGGAATTCACTATTTTGAAACATGCACACTTTCTCTGAAAGTTACTAGGAGCTATGCTCTATTAAAATAAGAGAGGAAGCCAGGTGTGGTGGCTCACATCTGTAATCCCAGCACTTTGGGAGGCTGAGGCAGCTGGATCACTTGAGCCCAGGAGTTCAAGACCAGCCTTAGCAACATGGCAAAACCCCATCTCTACTGAAAATACAAAAATTATCTGGGCATGGTGGCATGTACCTGTAGTCTCAGCTACTCAGGAGGCTGAGGTGAGAAGATCGCTTGGGCCTGGTAGGCAGAGGTTGCAGTGAGCCGAGATTGCACCACTGCACTCCAGCTTGGGTGACAGAGCAAGACCCTGTCTCAAAAACAAAACGAAACAAAGAAACCAACCCCCCAAGTCCCCCACAAAATGAGAGAGTAAAACATCAAGAAGGAAGACATGGAACCTAAGAAACTGGATTCATACAGGAAAAAGCTGAAGGCAATCCCCAAACAATAATGGAGAGAGAATCTCGGGATGTCAGCTGCACACGGGCCCAAGGGGCAGCTGGCCCAGATAAGAGGAGCTCGGTAGTCTCCACGACGAAATCGTCCCTGAGGCTGGACTCTGGAAACTCCACTGTGTGGTTTTTATGAAGCTATAGGAACGTGTGGAAACGCTTAGTGCAAGAAATTGAAGATATTTTTAAAAACCAAAAAACGAAGCAAATGAAAAAGACGAAGCAAATGAAAAAAACGAAGCAAATGAAAAAAACGAAGCAATTATGAACTCCTGGCTGAGCAGGAAATAATATTTACATTGCATTAATCATGGGAACACTGGATATGCATTTAACAGAAACTGGAGAAGATGGGGAGAAGGGGTGAGAGTATGTAAGAAATGTAAACTTCGGCCGGGCGCGGTGGCTCAAACCTGTAATCCCAGCACTTTGGGAGGCCGAGACGGGCAGATCACGAGGTCAGGAGATCGAGACCATCCTGGCTAACACGGTGAAACCCCGTCTCTACTAAAAATACAAAAAAATTAGCCGGGCGCAGTGGCGGGCGCCTCTAGTCCCAGCTACTCGGGAGGCTGAGGCGGGAGAATGGCGTAAACCCGGGAGGCGGAGCTTGCAGTAAACCCGGGAGGCGGAGCTTGCAGTGAGCCAAGATAGCGCCACTTCACTCCAGCCTGGGTGACAGAGCGAGACTCCGTCTCAAAAAAAAAAAAAAAAGAAATGTAAACTTCTCCTCTACTATAAGAGGAGTCAGTAGATAGATAACGGGTAAAACTGAGGGATTAAGACATTAAAAAATCAATATGATATTTAGCAAGAAAGAATTTAACAGAGGGAGCAATTGCTGAGTGGGTGGGATTACCTCTGGGATGGGAGGGGCGGGAGGGACGCGGGAGGACTGCTGTTTTTTGCTGTTATAAACCTTTCAGCGCTACAGTAGTCCACTTTGTGCAGTTTCAGTTACCTTTGGGCAACCACAGTCCAAAAATATTAATAGCTTTTGAAAGAAAAAGAGAAAGACAGAGATCACCATCACATAACTTCTGTTAGAGTATATTGTTATAATTGTTCTATTGTATAGTGTATGATTAATTATTGCTGTTCATCTCTTAACTGTGCCTAATTTATAAATTAAACATTATCTTTCTCCACCATCGTGGTGTGTGGTTGACTCCGCTTCTCGCCACAGCTTCTCACAAGACTCTCAGGATCAAGTCATTCCCGCGCAAGAAACAAAAGCAAGAAGGACCCATTCCCCAGTGGATTTGTATGAAAACTGGCAATAACATCAGGTACAGCTCCAAAAGGAGGTATTGGAAAGAACCAAGCTGGGTCTATAAGGAACTAAGCATGAGATGCTACACATATTTATGTTGTATCAAGGTTGTGATCCTCTTACCATCACAAGCTGAAAATGTCACCACTATCTGGACAGCTGGACATGTTTGATTGGGAAGGTACTTTTTCTCTTTGTTTATATGCTCTGCACTAGTAGGCTGGGGTCAGTAATACATAGGTGAGAACTTTTATTTAAAAAAAAAAATTATCAGCCTGTAATCCCAGCTACTCGGGACGCTGAGGCAAGAGAATCGCTTGAACCCGGGAGGCGGAGGTTGCAGTGAGCCAAGATGGCGCCACTGCACTCCAGCCTGGATGACAGTGCGAGACTCTGTCTCAAAAAAACAAAAGAAAAAATGATCAGGCTGGGCAGGGTGGCTCATGCCTATAATCCCAGTACTTTGAGAAGCTGAGGTGGGAGGATTGCTTAAGGCCTGGAGTTTGAGGCCAGCTTGGCCAACATAGTGAGACCCTGTTTCTATTTTTAAAAATTATCATAGGTATGTAAAACATCATACAGGAAAAAATAATAGCATATATATGCAGGTTGACTACTATCCACGGTTTCAGGCATCCACTTCGGGTATTGGGATGTATGCCCCAAGGCATAAGGGGCGTAAAGCGGGGGACTATTCTACTGGTTTCTAAATTTACTTGTAAACAGTACTTTGATGAAATAAAAGCAAATTAAAAAATCATTGCATTACAGATAAAAAGGAATCCTGAAGGAGGGAGTGTCGGAGAAGGGGAGGGCTCTGGAGAAGGCTGCCAGAGCAGGGGATGCCTAACCATGCTGAAGGTGAAGAGGGGGACCCGGAGTGGACTGCTAGGGACTCGCGACACCAGTGAGGTTCAGATGGAGGCCCTGGTGCTTTAGAACAAGAAGACGGCCAAGTGGCAGGAGCTCAGGCTGAGGCTCGTTACATGGCGCCTCTAGGCCGCGGTAGGGACTGTGGATTTTACTTGACAAGGAGCAGGTGGCCATAGGAAGGTCTCAAAGAGGCAGCTGGATGACTTATGTTTGTAATGGACTCATTCTCTCTGCTGAGTAGGGGGCGAGGGTGGAAGCAGCAGAGTGCAAGGCGACGGTCAGGTGCAGGAGGAAAAACCCTTCTTTACTGTCTTAGTGTCTCTGGCTGGGCTGAAGAATTAAACGGACATAAGGCAGATCAGCAGGAGAAAAACATACAGATTTTATTTGCATGTATGAGGGAGCCCCCTCCACCCCCGCCCAAATGACCAAGACCCAAAGAAGTGACTAGACATAAGGGCTTTTGTATCAGGTTGAAGAAAGAATGGCAATTGTGTAACTGGGAAGATAAGGGTTCAACGATTTGTTCTTACGGATTTCTTTTGGCCTCCACTCTCCTTATCCGGTAATAAGAATGTCTTTCTTCCTCCTAGCATAGGGAGGGCGTCTTTCACAGGGCATTTTAGCTCCTGCTTTCAGGAAGAAAAGGGGAGGTCAGAGCACCCTTTCTGCACCTGCTGTTTCTGAAGTGCCTTTAGTTCAAAGAAATCAATGTGCCAGAGTGGCGTATTCTGGGGTGGCATGTCCTGAACCCCTTCAGTGGCCTGGCCCAGAAGGGAGCCTGTGGACGGAGAGCAGTGGAGGGGTTCCGGGCAGGAACAGCAAGGCTCGGTGCTGGGGAGGTGTGTGACTGGGGGCACGTTGATGAACATTTACTCCTTTAACCTTCACAAGAACCCCCGGGCCGGGCAGTCAGGGGTGTACACTGTACTGAAGGAGAAAACTGAAGTTCAAGTTCACTGCATGGCAGGGGCAGAGCTGGGGCTCAAACTCCCCTGTCCAGTCTTCAGCCCCTGTACCCCAACCTGCAGGAATAAGTGAATGGATACATGAGGCTGGCTGCGCCTAGGGCACAGAGGGGCGAGGGAAATCCACAGAGGAGGAGGCCCGCGCCGGCGGCAGACTCAAAGCTGCGGTGCCAGGTGGGTTGCAGGGGGAGAGCTTTTATTCTGAGGGCAGGGAGAAGCCATGGGTAGGGAAGGGTGGTCAGTGCCATGGAAAACCCACCCTTGACCCTGAGGACACGCTCCCAGGAGCCCACCCACACCTCATGAACTTGTACAGACCAAGACAATGGGAGGCTGAGACCTGGAGTAAGGGCCTTGCCCTGGGCACGTGGCCAACGGAGGGGCAGTGTTAAGAGACCAGGCCGGCTCCGGGTGGAAGCGGGTGTGTCCTACTGTGTGCTGCCGCATGCACGGTGGCACCTCTGGATGAATTCAACTTCCAGTTCTCTGCAGCCCCAGGTACCTAGTGACAAAGGAGGTCCAGCCCTGGTCCCAAGGAATGGCCTAGTTTGGAAAGCATCCTAGGTGGTGCCTGGCACATAGTAGGTGCTCAGCCAAGACACGTGTCCTTCTCCCTCCCGTCTCTGACTGTTCCTTTCCTTATCACTCCTGTGCTGAGGCAGGAATCAGCACAGGCTGGGGCACGGCATCCCAAGACAGCTGGGCCTGTGCTCAGGACCACAGGGCAGAGTCTCTTAGACCAGAGATCAGTAAATATGGCCCATGGGGCAAATCCCACACGCTGCCTGTTTTTGTGCAGCCTACGAGCTGAGAATGGTTTTTACGGATGACCATTTGCAATCAGTTTGATGAAACACTAACTCTAAACTCCAATTAAGCAAAATATGTTGCCTCTAAAAAGAACTCTATTCTTCTCATTAGTGGACCTGCATTACAAAACACTGGCCTGAATTATTATTACTCTATTTTGAGTTTTGTCAGTTAGAAAATAGTGAAAATCTGTTTTCTCCCGGCACAATGATTTTGCCCTCAAAGCCTGAAATATTGGTTCTCTACTCTGTCCTTCTATGCACCCTGCCTGGGGCTCTCCAGATTTAACCAATCCCAGGGCTAATGACCCCCACCCGGCCTCCCCGGTAGCCGGTGCTGGCTGTGGGCGGTGTGCCTGACTGCAGGGCTGGACTGTGGACTCTCCGGCTGGTCAGCCCCACACCCAGCCTTGCCTTGGGACACAGCTGTAGCCCCGGGGGACCTGTGCCGCAGTGGCCTCGGGGAGCTGCTCTGGCTACTGGCTGGCAGCCTCAGCTCCCCTGAGCACTGAGCACATTCTTTTCTCCAACTCCCTGCGGGAGCCAAGGCCAGCGGGCGTGGGTGGCTGAAATCTCCTCGGTAACAGGGTCTGCCCCCCTCCTGCTCCCTCGCTGGGCCTCCTCCCTTAACCTGCCCCCCACCCCCCACACCTGCTCTCTGGCCCTCGGCCCCTCCCTGCTTGCTCCCTCCTTTCCCGGGCTCCATGTCACCATCTGTGGCACAGTCCCTCTCTGTCACTCTCCCTGCCAACCCCTCGTTCTCCTTCCTCCCTCCTCCTCTCTATCCTGCCTCTCTCTGCATCTCTCCCTCTCACCCGTGTCTCCTCTCCTCTCTTTCCTCTTCGTCTTCTCCCTGTCACGCGTCTTTCATCACTCCCCCTCATTCTGCCTTTCCTCCTACTCACGGTCTCCTCTCCCTCTCTCTCTCTCTCCCCCTCCCTCTTTCTCTCTCTCTCCACCTCCTCCCGACCCCCTTTCCCCTCTATTTCTATTGGTTTGTGCGTCCCTTGTTCCCCTTTTCTCTTCTTTACCCTGGGAAGCTTCTCCCCCTCTATCCTTGCCCCTGCCCCCCCAGGATGTGTCCTGGAGATGGGGGGTGACGTACCAGGTGCTGGTTGGGAAGTCAGGGCCGGAGACCAGATGGGAGAGGCTCTGTGGACAGCCATGGCCGAGGGCCTGGGAGGGGACCTGAGCCCGCAAGCAGTCTAGAAGTGCGTGCAGCGTGGGGACCCCAGTTAGGAGTGCCCTCCTAACCAATCCCAGGGCTAATGACCCTGGGGACTGGGCAGGGAGAGGGGACAGCAGAATGATAACCAGCCTGGCGGCAAGGAGGGAAGCCCTCATCCCATGGGCAGGTAAGGAGGCTGGGGCCCGGACGATGTCCCGAAGGGTGGGGTCCCGGAAGCCCATCCTCTGTCCAGGATGAACTTGGGAGGCTGGGGCTGGGGAGGCAGAGGGTGGGGAGTCCCAGGGAGGCAGGAGGGAGGCCTTCCTATGACCTCCTGGTCGGCTACAGGGGCAGGGGTATTAGTCTCAGAATCTTGTGCTATGATTCCAGGATCTCGGAATCACAGAATCGCAGGCTGTTAGGGCTGGAGGGAGCCAGATGCGTCATGTCGTTGGCTTTCCCAGCTCACGTGGCAGCTCTCCTGAGCTCCCCCTCCATACCCGGCACTGTGCTTGGCACGCCTCCATTTAATCTCTGCAAACAACTCTGGGAAGTGGGTCCGCTTGTCTTCCATACGATGAAACTGAGATCCAGGGGGGATAAGTGACTTGCCCGAAGTCATACGACGAAACTGAGGTGCAGGGGGGAGAAGTGACTTGCCCGAGGTCACACAGCACTTTGGCGTCATCGCTGTGCAACAGAGCCCAAGGCCCCAGCCCTGGGCCTGTGGGGTGTGCTCCTGGGATAAGGCCCCAGGCCTAGGGTGCGAGTGAGTCAGTTGGCGCTGACAAGCATAAGCCAGGTCTCTTTGGGGAGAAGGCCCAAGGGTGTAGAGGACAAGCAGAGAGTCAGGGCCCATTGCCCTGCACTCTTCAGGACTGTCACGGCCTTTGATTCTTCTCAGCCTGAGGCCTTCAGAGGAGCCAAGTGGGGCCAGGAGGTACTGATGGTTTACAAGTAGACAGAACTGAGTTCGAATTCTGGCTTCCCACTCTCCAGCTGGGTGACCCTGTGCTGCTTACTTAACCTCTCTGAGCCTCAACTTCTTCCCCTCTAAAAACTCTCCCTCTTGGGCTTCTTGAGGATCTCGTGATGTGAGTCTGAGGCTTGCATCTGGGGACAGTGTCCCACCTTGGAGCTCTCCTTGCTGAATTGCTTGGCTGTTCACATTTATGGCTGTTCTGGGTGATGTCCTAGGTTCTGGGGTTAAGAAATCAATCAGTCAGGGCCCCTGCATTCAAGAGCCAGTGTTCTAGCAAGTCAGAGATGGGCAAATGGAGAATGATTGGGGTACCTGGCCTCCCTGAATTATTAGGGCTGTGGGGCTCAAGGCAGCCACTCACCCTCTCTGTGCTGTCTCCTCCTGAACAGTCCTCCGAGGAGTCCGCCCCCAGCTTTCAGGCAAGCTTGTGCCAAAGATAAACCAGACAGGGAGGAAAAGTCCCTCCTTCCCAAGGATGAACTAGATCATGCACAGGATTCCAGCTCTTTAAAGAAAAGACGGCACCTCAATTGCAGGTCTGGCTTACGTGCTTGGAAAGCTGTAATTTCCCTGCTTCTGCTCCCTGGGCACCTCAAACTTTGACAGGGAAGACCAGCCGAGATAAAGGTGGAGACAGGGTTTTCCAGGAGGGGGCCAGGGGTTCTGGGAGGGGCGACTGCATTCCCTGGTACAAAGGAGGGTCTGGCTAGGCGTGCCGCGTTCCTGTCAGGACCATGTGTGTGTCAGCGCATGCACTTGTGGGTGCACAGACATGTGCTGGGCAGGCATGGGGGTGGGGCAACCTCAGAGCTTACCCCCAGTGGGCTACCCCAGGGGCATCTGTCCCTGAAGCCTGGAAATTAGGCCTGCCCAGCTCCTTGCTTCTCTCGCGAGCCTGGTGCTCCCCTCCCTCATCTAGCCCTGGCTTGTGATTGGCTGACCAGCAGGGATGCTATAAAGAGGATCTGTGCACATCACAGGGCGGCAAGGTAGATGGTGACGCGGGTCCCCTGCCAAGGAGGCAGGGCTCTAAGGTTCCAGGTTCCACAATTCCAGGTCTAAGATGGACTCATTCTAGCATTCTGAAATTCTAACGTTCTGTGATTCAAGGGTACTGAGTCTAAAATCCTATGGCTGTAAGATTCTCTGACTGTTCTAAGAATTCAGAATTCTATTTTAAGATCTCTAAGGTCCATTAGGCTTTGAGTCCATGATCCTCATAGCTCAAAGCCCTGGGGGCAACTGGGAAAGTGGGATACCAGCTGGGTACTTGGGTGGGTGCCTTCCCAGGCCTGGCTTCAGTTTGCCAGCCTGTGGAATGGGCATACAGGTGGTCACTACAAATTTTTCTAGATTTGCCACTTCCTAGCTGTGGCCAGAACATGTGACCTCATGTTTGCTCCCCATCTGTGCAGTGGGGATGACAGTAGTGCCTCTCTCATAGGACACCATAGGATACTGCAGTTCACCGGCTTAGCCTGGCACCTGGCACAGTCAGGGCTCAGTGATGAGCAGCTGGCAGCCTGTTAGGATCCTCTAGCCCACTGTCTAGGTGCCCGTCCCTCAGTGCTGCTGTTCCAGGCCCAGGAGACCTGATGAGGGGTTGGGGAGAAGGATGGGTTGAGGACAGGTTGGGGGATGACCCAGGCTCAGAATCCTTCTCTTCTCCCAGCCCCAGGAACAGGGAGGAGATGCTCTGAGCCCAGCCAGCTTGGGATGCTTTTGGAGAAGCCATGGCCTAGGGGTTCCCTGCTACCCTTGACTTCACCCAGCCTGGCACTGTGAGCCCGCTGCAGCCCCAGGTCCTTGGGGCAAGGGTAGCCAGGCGTGCTCAGAGGTGTTTGTTTGGATTTGGGGTGCCTTTCCTTCCCAGAAGCTTTGCACCTCAACTGTGACGTCCGTATAGGGCAGTGCGGACCACAGCTCCCAGTGGAGGGAGGAACTGCAGGCCCAGTGTCAGGGATATTAGAAGAAGAGCTTCTCCTCTGAGAGATTTCTCTTCCCTTCAGGGTTTTCTGCAGGGAGAATCCGAGGGCAGCCAGGAGCCAGGGGATTGAGGGATAATTAGGAAGAAGGGGTACAGTGGGTGGTCCAGGCCCCAGAGGAGGCTCCTGCTTCCAGCCTGGCCCTGCCTGGGCCTCCTCCTGAGCGTGGCTTTCCGCAGTGGGTTCGGACATTCCCCCTTGGCATTGGAATTGGTCCACTCCAGGCTTCCTGGTTCATTTGATGCCTGACACTGAGGCAGAGCTTGTGCCTGTGGGAAAGCGACAGGGCGGAAAGCAGTGGGGAGGGTCCAAAGCTGGCTGGAGACTCCACATGGGAGGGGATCAGAGTCTTGCAGGGGAGCCCGGAGGAGCCCCAGCTTCTTACACGCAGGCATGGGATGAGAAAGACACTAAGAGAGTGCGTGGAGTGCAGTGGGGGCTCTTGCTTGTGCTGCAAATCCCTTCTGAAAATGTTCCCTTCTCCAGGCAGCTGGCCCCTCCAGCCAGGGGGCGGGGCTACTCTTGGATAGCATCTACTAAGTGAATTGTAAAGTTCTCCAACCCCAGCCGGCCGGCCGCTGGGGAGAAGGTGCCTCAACCACCTGCCCCCCAGGTTCCTAGCCAACCTTCCTGGGCAGGACCTTTGGGAGGGGCATAGTGGGATGGCCCAGGCTGATGGGGGGTGCTAAGGACTATGACTCCCAGGGGACGGGACACCCCAAGCCTGTGGTTCTTAACTCCATTTGGAACCTGAAGAATCTGATATTAACCTTCAACCGGAGTTTAGGGCGTTCATGGATCCTCTGAAGTTCATGTAGGGAGCGGGCTTCCAGGTGAAGGTCCTGTGATACGAAGCAGTGTTTTTCAGATGTCAGGACAAGACCTGTTGGTCTCGCCAGCAATGCAACCTACTTCACAGGGCCCTGCCAGCTGGGGCCTCACGTGTAGAAAGGAAGGGCAGGTATTGGTTGATGAAACTGTATGACTTCATGCCGCACACCACACCCTGTCTCCACGATGAAGAATGATCACCTCACCTCCCCGAGCCTCAGTTTCCTCATCTGAGAAAAGGGGATAACATGACTCAGCCTTGCGGTGCTGTGCAGGGTGAATGAGATGGTGCACTGCCCATCCTCTGAAATCTCTCAGACGATGGGAGGATGGGTGTGCAGCAGGTCCCCAGGTTCAGCGTGATGGGAGAGGGCAGCACAGAGAAAGCCATTCTCTGCCGTGACCGAGCTGTTTTTCCTGCCCCCAGGCAAATAGCTGACTGCTGACCAACCTCCCATCAGCCATGGACACGCTTCCTCCATCATCATCGGTGTCCACGACCTTAGAACCTGAGAATGCCTCCTTGGCCTGGCCCCCAGATGCCACCCTGGGCAACATGTCGGCGGCCCCAAGCCCCGCAGGGCTGGCTGTCAGTGGCGTTCTGATCCCCCTGGTCTACCTGGTGGTGTGTGTGGTGGGCCTGCTGGGTAACTCGCTGGTCATCTATGTGGTCCTGCGGCACACGGCCAGCCCTTCAGTCACCAACGTCTACATCCTCAACCTGGCACTGGCTGACGAGCTCTTCATGCTGGGCCTGCCCTTCCTGGCTGCCCAGAACGCCCTGTCCTACTGGCCCTTCGGCTCCCTCATGTGCCGCCTGGTCATGGCAGTGGATGGCATCAACCAGTTCACCAGCATCTTCTGCCTGACCGTCATGAGCGTGGACCGCTACCTGGCCGTGGTACATCCCACCCGCTCGGCCCGCTGGCGCACGGCTCCGGTGGCCCGCGTGGTCAGCGCGGCCGTGTGGGTGGCCTCAGCCGTGGTGGTGCTGCCCGTGGTGGTCTTCTCAGGAGTGCCCCGCGGCATGAGCACCTGCCATATGCAGTGGCCCGAGCCGGCAGCGGCCTGGCGAGCCGGCTTCATCATCTACACGGCCGCCCTGGGCTTCTTCGGGCCGCTGCTGGTCATCTGCCTCTGCTACCTGCTCATCGTGGTGAAGGTGCGCTCAGCCGGGCGCCGGGTGTGGGCGCCCTCGTGCCAGCGGCGACGCTCCGAGCGCAGGGTCACGCGCATGGTGGTGGCCGTGGTGGCGCTCTTCGTGCTCTGCTGGATGCCCTTCTACGTGCTCAACATCGTCAACGTGGTGTGCCCACTGCCCGAGGAGCCTGCCTTCTTTGGGCTCTACTTCCTGGTGGTGGCACTGCCCTACGCCAACAGCTGTGCCAACCCCATCCTTTATGGCTTCCTCTCCTACCGCTTCAAGCAGGGCTTCCGCAGGGTCCTGCTGCGGCCCTCCCGCCGCGTGTGCAGCCAGGAGCCCACTGTGGGGCCCCCGGAGAAGACTGAGGAAGAGGATGAGGAGGAGGAGGATGGGGAGGAGAGCAGGGAGGGGGGCAAGAGGAAGGAGATGAACGGCCGGGTCAGCCAGATCACACAGCCTGGCACCAGTGGACAGGAGCGGCCGCCCAGCAGAGTGGCCAGCAAGGAGCAGCAGCTCCTACCCCAAGAGGCCTCCACGGGGGAGAAGTCCAGCACCATGCGTATCAGCTACCTGTAGGGGCCTGGGGAAAGCCGGGGTGGCCCGAGGAAGGGGCAGAAGCCGTGGGTGTGCCTAGGGTGTACTTCCCAAGGTGCCACAGGCCCATGATAGGATGTTGAAGGGCCTGGGCTTTGATGCTGTTGCTGCCAGGACTTGCTGTGTGACCTCGGGTAGGTTGCTTCCAGTCTCTGGGCCTTGTTTTCTCCTCTGTGACTCAGGGATAGGAGTCATCAGCCTGGATGAGCTATGTCAGATGAGAGGTTTGGAGGGCACTACTGCTGGGCTGACCTTGCTGAGCGAGCAAAAGGTGGGTGCAGACTGGCCTCTCCCCGGGGCTGGAGTGTGTGGGGGCATCAACCTGAATCTTGACCCTCAGAGGGATAAACCAAGGCCAGGATTTCTTGGGCTCAGAGTCAGGGACACAGGAGCTGCTGGGGGCTGGGCTGGAAACCTAAACAGAAGAAAGCCTAACCTGGTGGGAGGCGTGGCGCAGAAATGATCAGGCCCCAGATCAGCTCCCTCCTCTCGACTGTGAAGCCTTGGACCAGCTCTGCTCCTCTCTAGGCCTCAGGCTTCACCCGGGGAAACCCCAACAACCTCCATGCCCTTCTGGCCCAGGCAGTCAATGCTGGAGATCCTGTGCTCCTGGGTGCGGAGAGAACAGGCGAATTTCCCAGGAAGCGAGTGAAGGCCAGCTTCAGGGTCTCTCACTGCCTGGGCTCTTTCAAGGCCCTGCATCTACTTTTGTACTTGTCATTTTGTATTCGTTTTCTTAAAGAGGGACCTCAAACTGCATAAGCTTAGGCCACCCAAAGCCTGGCTCCGCCCCTGCTGAGGTCAGCCACCGAATCCCCAAGGAAGCTCACGTTGGGTCTTACGGCTGGAGTAGGGGCTCCCGGGGGTTCCCAGGTCTTTGAGGGCTTCCAGGCACCTCCTTGTAGGAGGGGCCATTCCTGTTTCTCTCCTTGTGACCCATATTCTTCCCTCCTGGAGACTGAGGCAGAGACCCAGCCCATGGGGACTGGCATGGAAAGGCACAGTGTCTGCTGAAGAACGCTGTGAGGAGAAGGAAGAGGCAGGGAGAAGAGGAAGAGGAAGAAGAAGGAAGAGGAAGACAAGGGGGAAAGGGGAGGATGAGTGGGGGAAGGAGAAGCACAGATCTGTTTCCTGGAGCAGTCTTTGGCCTCCCTGGGCTGAGCTCAGTGGTAGCATCTGTGAACCTGAGTTGCCGACAACAGCCCCACCCAACCAGTACTGAGGGAAGGACACGATCAGGGTGGAACAGCCAGGGTGCAACGGCAAATGCACAGAGTACAGACGGGCACAGGGCCTGTGTCCCTGAGGGGCCTGAGAGTGCTGCCAAGAAGGGCTCAGGTCTTAATAAAGCCCTAGGGTGAAGCTGGCTACCAGGGACATCGGGAGGACCGGGGAGCCCCTGGTGGGTGGGGAGCAGGCCTCCCCATGCTCTATCATCCTGGAGACTACAGGTCGAGAGGCCCAGGAAAGACAAGAAGAGGTTGAAGTGGGACTGTGGAGGGGGACCACGGGGAGTAGCCATTATCCAAGGCTGGGCCTAGACTCTGTCCCAGAGATGGTCCCTCAGAGCTGTGGTGAGGCTGGCCCTGGGAGGGTGGGACCCCCGGTGAAATCCCTCCACTTCCCCACCCCCTGCAGAGGGCAGGGGTCCTCAGGGAAAGCACAGGAACCAGACTTTTGGAGACTTGGATCTTCAGCACACCTCAGGGTCCTGGGCTGGCATGGGCCTTCCGGGCCTCAATTTCCCCATCAACAAATGGAGATGAATCACAGCTTGGCTGCCTCCTGGGATCTAACAAGAAAATGAGTCATGTGAGGTAACTTCCAGGCTCACTGCAACGGGTAGGGTGGGGTGTATCAGATTATAAAGTGGGAGTACCCTCCTCACCCCCAGGCTTGGCCTATACCCCCCTCTCCTTCATCAAGTGGCCAGTCTGTGTCTGTCCTTTGGGGTGGTGACACTGTAGGCCATGAGAAATGGGCAGTCTGGGGGTCAGAGGCCAAGGGTCAGGGAGGCAGGGCTTGGGGAGAGAGTGAGACCCTCAGAGGAGAAGGAAGTTTATAAAACCACATTTTGTGTGGAGATGGAGGCTGGAGGCCCAGCCCTGGGACTTGGTCTGGGGTTCCTTGAGGAAGATCTGAGGGTCTGAGAGAGGAAGGATGCCCTGGCCTTCCGGCCTTCTCTGGCTGATCCTGCCTTCTTGCTGCCTAAGACAGGAGAGCAATGTCCTAGAAGGGTCCCCGGGAGGCCAGTTAGGAAACCCTTTGCTGCTTCTGTCTCTAGCTCTTGTCAATAAAGATGGTGACATCTGATAACAGCTGTGGCCTGGGCCAATTTATCTGCCAGACACTGTCTCCAGATGGGTGTGAATGTGCAGGTGTGTGTGGGCTCCGTGCACCCTGGCCTCTTCGGGTGTGACATCCCAGAGTCCAGGTCCTTCAGGGAACGTGGAAGGTACCCTTGATGGGGCTGAGCCCACATCCTTATAGACCTTGATCCAAAAGCAGTAGACGTCCTTTCTCCCTATTATCCAAATATTAGATTTCAGGGAAGAAAGTGGATTGGCTCCAACTAGGTCACATGATGGTCCCTTGGGCCAATCACCAAAGCCATGGAGATAGGGTGCCATGGTTGGCCGGGTGCAGGTCATGTGCCCATATTTCCAGCCAGAGAGAAGGTAGGGCACTGTGATGGACAATCTGGCCTGGCCCATGGGGCAGAGGTGGGTCAGGGACAGCCTACTAATGGCTAGGGGAGGTGGGCCAGGCACCAACAACCAACAGCACTTGGGTCTGGGTGTCTGTGGGGTTTGCTGTGTGTGGCTGCCTTTGCTGGGCGTGATATTGTATGTCCAGGTTTGTGTGAGCCCAGTGCAGGGTGCATAGTAGGTGGTCAGGACATCTCAGCTGCGTCCATGAGTGAATGTGCACTGGGGTGTGACATGCGGCCGGTGTGTAAGTGGTGGGAGCAGAGGAACTGCTGGGGCGCCAGTGTTGGGTGGGAGTGGCTGCCTGGGCAGGGTCCCTCGTCTGGTCCTGGCAGCCCTCGCTTCCCTACCACACTGGCTGTCCCCACCTGTGCATGCTCACGTGCAGTCTGTGTGTGTGTGTGCTTGTGCCCCACACACATGTGTCTGGCAGCCTTGTGTTCCCAGGGCCTGGCAGTGCTACCGTGGCCTTTCTTAGGAGTATCTGGAATGAATGAACAAACGGGGCCACTGCATGTCACAACTCCAGGGGGGGACTGTACACGCTGTGCCTCTAACTTCCTGTGAAGCTACAGCATGGTGCCTCTGAATAAATGAGTGATAAGGGATGGGGCTACTGAAGGAGCTTGTATAGGGTTTGGGGTTAGAATTTGTAGGCTAGGGGAGCCACTGGGGCTGTAGGGTGAGGGGAGGCTCTGCAGCTGTGAGCTGGAGCAGGGAGGGAGGAGCGATGATAACTCACCTTGCCCACTCCTCTCCTCCTCCTCCAGCCATTGAAGTTGCTCAGATCCGAGGCTTTACCTTGAACTTGTCTCTCAGAGGCGGTTGCCAGGCAACAGCCCTTGGCCACCAGGCTCTGGACCAGGACTTCCTGCGTCAGCATCAACATTATCAGAGGGGAGACAGGAACCCGCAAGGCCTGGGGCAGGAAAAACCACGGCCTCCAGATCTTTGGGATCCTCTTTACCTAGAAGGGGTGGGACAGGTGGAGGCCACGGACCCGTGGGAATTGACAGCCTGGACTCCACAGGACTCGACACAGAAGAAAACACAGCGAGAGGTTGGGCGCAGTGGCTCACACCTGTAATCCTAGCACTTTGGGAGGCTGAGGTGGGCGGATTGCTTGAGCTCAGGAGTTTGAGATCAGCCTGGGCAACATGGTGAAATTCCGTCTCTACCAAAAATACAAAAATTAGCCAGGCATGGTGGTGCATGCCTGTGGTTCCAGCTACTTGGGAGGCCGAGGTGGGAGGATCGCTTGAGCCTGGGAGGCAGAGGTTGCAGTGAGCTGAGATTGTGCCACTGGACTCCAGCCTGGATGACAGAGGGAGACCCTATCTCAAACAAAAAACAAAAACAAAAAACCACTCCAAACCAAAAAACAAAAAAAACCAAACAAAAACAAACAGAAACATCCAAAATCAAAAACCAAAGAACATGGCAAGAAGGCCAGGCTGTAGTGTGAGGGGCACCCCCGGAGCTGTGCAAGGCCACCATCCCGCCAAGGCCTCAGGGTACTCCCTGTCTCTGGCAGGCCCTGGTGAGCATCTCAGCGAGTCCGCCGGAAGGCTGAGGGAGAAATGTCTCCCTGAAAGTCATGGGGCCAAAGTCAGCACGCCTGGGTCCCAGGCCTCCCGCAGCAAACCTCCTGTGTGGCCTTGGGCCATTTATTTCACCTCTGCATGTAGTTCACTTAGCTAACAAAGGCTTTTCTGAGCACCAGCTATACGCAAGGCCCTGACATGCAGCCGGGGGCTGGTGCAGGCAAATGGACACGGGTCCTGCCCTCTCAGCACCCATAGGCAAGCACACAAGGAAGTGCAGCCCTATGGGGGCTCAGTGGGGAGGGAGAAGTGCAGCATGCTCTGAGGGTTGGGGGCTGGTGGGGGCTGCATCTAGAGTGGAAGTTTCAGCCTAAGTGTGCCAGGCAGAGGTATCGGCACGTGCTAAGGTCCTGAGCTAGGGAGAGGCAGTGAGTGAAAGAAAGGTAGCGAACAGTCCCCTTTTGAGGGACAGAGGCTGTGTCACACAGGGCTTCCTAGGGCATCTATTCCTGTTCAGGCTGAATTGTGTCCCCCCTAAAGTCCTATGTTGAAGTCCTAACCTCCACAGCCCCAGAATATGACCTTACCTGGAAATGGGGTCATTGCATTGTAGGTAGTGAAGAGGTCATACTGGAGCAGGGATGGCCCCTAATCCAATACGACTGGTGTCCTTAAGAAACGGGGAGGGCAGCCATGGTGGCTTATGCCTGTAATCCCAGCACTTTGGGTGGCCGAGGCGGGTGGATCATCTGAGGTCAGGAGTTTGAGGCCACCCTGGTCAACATGGCGAAACCCCGTCTCTACTAAAAATACAAAAATTAGTCAGGCATAGTGGCATGTGCCTGTAATCCCAGCTACTCTGGAGGCTGAGGTAGGAGAATCTGGGAGGCCTGAATCTGAGAGGCGGAGGTTGCAGTGAGCTGAGATCGCACCACCGCCCTCCAGTCTGGGCAACACAGTGAAACTTCATCTCAAAAAAGAAAAAAAAAAAAAAAAAAAGTGCAGATTCAGACACAGACAGGCACCCAGGGAGACGCCATGTGAACATGAAGGTAAAGATCCAACAAGGTATCCACAAGTCAAGGAAAGCCAACGATTGCCAGCACAGCAGAAGCTAGAAGCAAGCCTGAAACAGCTCCTCCTTCCCTTGCAGCCCTCAGAAGGAACTAACCTTGCTGAGGCGAAGCCTGGACTTCTGCCCCCAGAACTGTGAGACAATCAGTTTCTGTTGCTTAAGTCAGCCAGTGTGTGGTGCTTTGTTAAGGGAGGCCTAGCAAACTCTTAATTCCCACTCTTGCAAAATGGAAGTAAAGGCCCCTTCTCCCCTCGGTCTCCCAGAGGACCTATTAGGTTAACCCATTCATTCCTTCAAACTCTCCAATAAGAGCTTATTGGGTGGTTGCCAACTACAAAAAGCTGAGGGCAGAGAAGTCCAGTACAAGACCTTCCTGTCTTCTAGGAGCCAAGGAAGTGATGGCAAGAATAAGAGGTACAGGGAGTAATTCCTTTTTTTTTTTTTTTTTTTTTTTGAGATGGAGTCTTGCTTTGTCACCAGGCTGGAGTGCAGTGGTGGGATCTTGGCTCACTGCAACCTCTGCCTCCTGGGTTCAAGTGATTCCCCTGCCTCAGCCTCCCAAGTAGCTGGGACTACAGGCACGCGCCACCACACCTGGCTAACTGTTTGTATTTTAGTAGAGATGGGGTTTCACCATGTTGGCCAGGATGGTCTTGAACTCCTGACCTGATGATCCGCCTGCCTCGGCCTCCCAAAGTGCTGGGATTACAGGCGTGAACCACCTCACCCAGCCCAGAGAGCAATTCTTAAGCACACGGACTCTGGAAGTGCCTGGGCTTGAATCCCAGCTCATCTTCACTAGTTGTTTGATTTTTAGCCAATTAATTAACCTCTCTGTGCCTTAATTTTCTCCTCTCTGAGATGAGCGGGAGAGCAACTGTCCCCATTGCTAGGAAGTTTAAATGAGTTAATATTTGTAACAGCATAGGACAGTGGCTGGCACACCATACATACTGTGTGTGACACAGGCATGAGAAGCACTCCAACAGCAGCAAGAATTCCTCTGCGGTGGGGGCGAAAGTGTCCCAGATTATAGTCCAGATCAGTGCAAAGAGAGAACCAGAGCGTGTCCACAGGGAAGGCATGGACCTTCCGGGTCCTGACGACATCTCTGACACGAATTTTACCCCTGAAGACAGTAGGGCCCAGGATGGTCATGTGGCTTGCCCAGGGTTACGGCACCGGGAGCCAGACCCCAAACACGGTTTTCCCAGGCCCTAGTCCAGGGCCCATAGTCTAAAAACAAAACTATGAAAATGGAGGCTGAGTGGACAGGAGTGATGCTAGGGGTGGGGAGAGCTCTGAGGCCACTGGTGTCCCTGGTGGCCACTGGCCATGGCAGACAACACCCCCCGGGGAAGACCCAACAGGCAGAGGGCAGCCCAGGCCCCATGGGGACTTGGTTCTTCCTCGGAATCCCAGCAGGCCTCCAGCAAGCCTCATAGCAGCATGCACCACACCGAGGGGTGAATGATGGGCACACATGAGTGCGCACGCGTGTGCAGAGGGTGAGACAAGCCTTCACTTTCTCATAGGCTCAAAAAAAGTGGCTGGGCCAGCTGGGCACGGTGACTCATGCCTGTAATCCCAGCACTTTGGGAGGCCGAGGCGGGCGGATCACGAGGTCACGAGATCGAGAGCATCCTGGCTAACACGGTGAAACCTCGTCTTTACTGAAAATACAAAAAATTAGCCGGGCGTGGTGGCACGCACCTGTAGTCTCAGCTACTCGGGAGGCTGAGGCAGGAGAATCGCTTGAACAGAGGCGGAGGTTGCAGTGATCAGAGAACATGCCACTGCACTCCAGCCTGGATGACACAATGAGACTCTGTCTCAAGAAAAAAAAAAAAAAAAGGTGCCTGGGCCACACTCAGGGTCCTCCGGGGTTCCTGACACCTCAGGTTCTGGCTCACACTCTCCTGGAGCCCACCTCCTCTGTCACCATCTTACAGGTGGAGAAACTGAGGCCTACGGTGGGGGTGGGGTGTATT